GCTGTTAAGAATTATGGATATATGTTATAGTTAGCTGACTTTTTTATTATTTTAAACTGTATGTTGAAGTTAAACAATTTTATATGTATGCCAATGATTTTATTAACATAAAATATTTATTACATATTAAGTTCAAGAAACCTATTTGACAATGGATACAAGTCAGCATTGTGTGCATGTAACAAGACTCTTTGTTTTCTTTTTCTTGACATGGCATATTATTAATTCATTAGTCTTAAAGAGATTAATTGGTACGCAAATGATCTTGTATAGTTTAAAAACTGATTTTGTTAGATATTTATTAGCAGCTAAATCTGTTTAAAATATATATCTCAATTGAGAAGAAAAAGTTCACCAAAAAATCATTCAACATGTAAGTTCAGTCAAAACCATCCAACGAGCTCTTGCTTGTGTTGTGAGATCTTATTTAGCTGTAAGATTTGCAAGATCATTTAATAACAATATCAAATGCCAAGAACTCACAGCAACATATAAACAACTTTTGATGCTAAGTAGCGTTGAATGTTCAAATGGAAACTGCAGCATCAGAGATCAAACTCATATTTTAAAAGCTTTAGATTCTTATTTCTTTTGCTCAGGTGATCACGATTATGCAAATATTCCAAATTGCAGCATTCAAAAAACCATTGATCTTATATTGTCTAATACGTTGCTAAAATGACATTAAAATAAAATAATCTGTATTAAATATATATATATATATATATATATATATATATATATATATATATATATATATATATATATTATATATATATATATATATATATATAGTGCAAAACCGAAAATTATGTTTGTATTTGAGGCTTAAACATTTATTTTCATTAAAAAAAAGATACAAAAGTTCGTAACTAAATTTTCTTAATTTGTAATCAGCTAAATACACCGCCATATTGGGAGGCCAAAACTGGCTTCAAAAAATTTGCCTTTTACGCTATCCAAAGATCAGTGGAAAACTTTAAAAAGCTTCCACGTTTCCGTGCGTTAAACGACTAGCTGCGTTGCGGTCGATTTCTTTGCAAAACCGAAAATTATGTTTGTATTT